TCATATTATTTCCATCAAAATAGAGGGTGTGATGGTTAATTTTATGTGTCAATTTGACTGACCTAAGGGATGCCTAGAGAGCTGGTAAAACATTATTTCTTGGTGTGTCCATGAGGGTGAATCTGGAAGAGGTTGGCATTTGATACAGTAGACTGAGTAAAGACATCTACTGTCACCAGTGGTGGGTGGACAGTATCCAATCCACTGGGGGCAGAATGGAACACAAAGGTGAAGGAAGTGAATTCTTCCTTTCTTTTTGAGTTGGGATGTCCATCTTCTTCTGCCCTGGAACACTAGAACTCCCAGTTCTCGGTTTTTGAACTCCAGGACTTACAGCTGGTTCTCAGGCCTTTGACTTGGATTAATTCATACCACTGATTTTTTTTGGCCAATCTCATACTTTTAAGAATGGGTGCATTAGGAGCATTGTAACCATTTTAATAGATTAAAAAATTTCTCACATTTGCCATATGCCCATATGCTTTAATGTGCATAAAAACTTTTACATTACAGTTTTGATTACTGTGAAACAAACTCCTGTGGAACTCTTAAATTAATACTTCTGCTCATTTATTTACATTTCTCCTCCCATATTTTAACAGTTCTGAATTCGGGATGAGTCTTACGATGGTCACCCACCAGGAATGACTGTGACTAGCTGTCACTCAAGCTTGGTGCTAGCGCTTTGTGTTGTGACTTCAATTGAGTCATGTGCATGGTTGACACTACATGTGCTAATTGAGGTTTAGTAGGTCTTAAAAAATTATATCATCTGCCTTTGAAAAAAATAAAGTTATCATGTACACAGAAAAGTACAGAAACAGAGGTTGGGGATGAAATGGGACTTAGAGTCCAAGAGCTGTTATTAGAGGAATGTCTACAGTTCCATGCGGTGATGCAAAGCAACCATTAAGTGCTTTACCTAAGAAAGAAATACATCACCCTGTGGATAAATCCATGCTTCATTTTGTTGCTGAAATGGATACAAAAGAATTACCTATCACACACCACACAGAGTACCTAAAGTCAGAAGCAACTGCCAGGTCCCTCAGATAACAGATAAAAGACATTTTGAAGTAAAGCACTACTCATTGGACATTATTAAGGCATCACATCGTAATTTCATTGGCAGGATTTTCCCTTTCCTTAGTGGAGTGTCATTATCAAGCACCTATTCAGTTAAAGGTTCTCTGCAGGTGCTTTCACATGACATTTAAGCCTCACACCAATTCTGTTCCATCTCATCCCAACCTGGAGGTGAGAGCTGAGCATTTTGCTCAGATTGGTACTTTGGTTTTGGTAGAGTTAGGACTTGAATTCTCATGTATTCATGCCCAGAGCCTGTACTTCTTCCTCTAGACTCCACTGTCCTGGTAGAAATCTCCCTGATTTGCCAACCCCTCTACCCCTTTTCTTTTATAGGTGTTTTTTTTTCCTTTTTATTATTTTAGTTGTTTTAAGTTTATATCTGATAACATATTCTGAAAACACCGTCCTGAGGCTGTTTCCAGAGGGAGCTGAGCTGTTTACACAGCCCTGCCCTGTCTGAGCAAGAGCATGCATTTGCACCTACACCCACCAAGGACCAAGGGCAGAGCCACCTGGGCCCAGCCCTGTGCCTACCCATCGAACAAACTGCACATCAGAGGTGGGAGGACCTCTCCCTGCAGCCCCTGCTTCTGGGAATTTCTGATCCACACAAGCCTGGCAGGAAGTGATGCGATGGTGGGATGGTCTGGATCCAACCCCTCTATCTTTCAGAAGAATCTGTGGGGAGGAATGGCACCAAGATGTCTATACTCAGGATGACATCTTGGGTTTTTCTTTGTTTTTCATCTGAAAACTGAGTTAGATTTTGGGGACTGGCAATCCTGATGAGGGCATTGTTGGTGTTTACTTCTCATCAGTGCACCTTGAATTCGGCTCACATAGTCTCTCACGTCACCTCACAATTGTTTCCTAAAATAGAAAATGCTTTTCAACCAGATAATCTTTACTTGTGCCTGAGAATAAGCCATACTCAATGGGCCCATCTTCAATTCAAAGGCAGTAAATTGAAGATGATCCAATAAATGTCCCTCAACATCTCCAGCTAAGGATTTTCTAGAAAACCTAGTATTAAAAAAAGCATTGAGCATTTCTTTTTACCAACTGCAGGTTCTCAAGAAATAATCAGATGAGATTCTCACACATAAACATTTACTATTTTCCATGGCTATTTGGGTGGGAAAAAGTCAAAATGAAGTAAAAAATGAAAACCACTTGAATTTCTGTCCTTGCTTATAATTGTATTCATACCAACAGTTTTAAAGGTTTAGACATGTTTAGAAATGTGGTTTCTTCTTAGATCAGGAGCAGGAATGGCTGCCCTCTTGGGAAAGGCCAGCCTGTGGTGAGCTAGCCGGCAGCAAGGGTGGAAGTGCCAGAAATATCAGTGGGAAGCTGAGGATTCTGAAATTCCTCATGTGATTTGGAACCCAGGAGAATTTGACTGCATTTGGAATCACTGCATCATGGAATGAAACCAGAAAGAAGATTATTTACTCCTCATACATTTACTTCTCTTTAGATCTGGTTCCAAGGCTTTGAGAATTGTGTTATAAACTAGAGGCTTTTCATTAATTAAGTAACAAGGACGTTGTAACAAGCAGCAAAGATAATTATTTTCCTCCAAATTGAGCTGGTAGGGCCATTCTCGTCTTTCTGAGGACAAGCATTTAGTGAAAACAGAATCAGCATGGAACCAGCGTTTTACTGTAATCTTGGCTATGAAAGATTCGAGCACATGATTGGCATTTAAATTATTAATAAGTAATGCAGTGTCACTTAATATTTTATTTCCGTTCATCAGTTACCAGTGTTTCTTAATCAAACTAGCTAGAGTTACTCACTGACTCTTAAGAAAGAGCTGGTAACCCTAGCCGGTTTTGCACAGTGGATAGAGCATTGGCCTGTGGACCGAAGGGTCCTGGGTTTGATTCCGGTCAAGGGCACGTACCTTGGTTGCAGGCTCCTCCTTGCACCAGGCCCAGGGCCCGTGCAGGAGACAACCAATCGATGTGTTGGTTGCCTCCTGCACAAGCTGATAGAGTTTAAAATAATATTTAGAGAATCATTTACAGCTATACCTGCTCTCATACCTTTTCTTGCCCAGCTCCATAGAAAGGGGGTGTCCCTCTAGACCAGTGATGGCGAACCTTTTGAGCTCGGTGTGTCAGCATTTTGAAAAACCCTAACTTAACTCTGGTGCCATGTCACATATAGAAATTTTTTGATATTTGCAACCATAGTAAAACAAAGACTTATAATTTTGATATTTATTTTATATATTTAAATGCCATTTAACAAAGAAAAATCAACCAAAAAAATGAGTTCGCGTGTCACCTTTGACACGCATGTCATAGGTTCGCCATCACTGCTCTAGTCCAAGGTAAATCACTTGTCTATACTCTGAATGTACACATTAAAATTTAATTTGCCATGGGCCCACCTATCAAGCTGTTGATTGGAAATTTTTTCTCTCAGTGAACACTGCCATCTTCATTAGGTTTCCGAAGAAAGCATTAGGGGCCATCAGAGACTCCTCCACATTCTGACATCCCAGCTCTATCCAATCCATCAGTGTCCTGTCCATTTCCCTGATTCAGTATTTTTCCTGCACTTTCATTTCCCTCTGTCTCTCAGCTACTACATTGGTGTAGGTCCTAAACACCTTTTAAGAACCTCCCAGATCATCTCCCTGCTATAATATCCAATATCCCGTTCTCTATACCACTATCAAAATGATTTCTCTCTTCTTAAAACCTTTTAATGGTGCTTCACTATCTTAAGGACAAAGTTCCAGATCCTTAGCATGGAACCAAGAAGCCCTTTATGCCATGGGCCTGCAGGGAAGCCAGCATCATCCTGCACCATTCCCCAGAAGGCCCCATATGTTCCAATCCGAGGTAAGGAGTTGCTGTTTTGAAAATGGACCATGTTCCCTCTCTCTCCTTTGCCTTTGCAAGGTGGTTCCCTCTACTGACCATTTGCTCTGTGTCTGCCAGCAACACTCTGAATAGTTCCTTAAGGCAAGCTCATTATTTGACAACTCTGGGAAACAGGGAGGGAGCCCACGCTGAGTTCAAAGTCAATTGCTGTGGCGCCTTCTCCTGCGTTCTCCCAAACCTCCGTCAAGGTACTTGCCATAGAGCATTTCAGTGTTTGTTGTAAACATCTGTCTCTTCCACTACACTGTACGTTCCTTGAGTGGAGGAGTTGAGTCTTTATTTTTGTCTTTCCAGGCCAAGCATGGTACCTGTTGCTTGGTAGCTGCTCCATAAATTGCTACGGCATAAAGGAGTTTAATCTTTTTTCATTGCTTCTGAAAACTTTCAGGTAGCCCTTAAAACAGCGGTTCTCAACCTGTGGGTCGCGACCCCTTTGGCGATCGAAGGACCCTTTCACAGGGGTTGCCTAAGACCATCCTGCATATCAGATATTTACATTACGATTCATAACAGTAGCAACATTACAGTTATGAAGTAGCAACGAAAATAATTTTATGGTTGGGTCACAACATGAGGAACTGTATTTAAAGGGCCAGAAGGTTGAGAACCACTGCCTTAGAAGGTCTTTTGTCTTGCTCACCCTGAGTACTTTCATCTAATTCCACATGTTCAGTGACCATCCATATATCCATCAAGGCCAACTTTTGACCTCCAGAACTCCATGTCCCACTTGTAATAACTTCTGTGTCTCACAATACCTCAAAGTTTATATGTTAAAAGTGAATCGTTTCCTTCCTCAATTGGCCTCTTTTCTACTTCCCGTCCTAGTGAGTTAGCAGTGGTCAAGGATGAATTAAGGGTATCGACTACTTGTAATTTTTCTCTGGGTTTCTATGCTAAATCACACGGTTAGTAAATTTCTAGGAAAAATTGATCCTTTATGTATAGTCCAAGTTTGCTTTTGTATTAGTGATCTACTGCTACATAACAAATCAGCACACACTTGGCAACTTAAAAAAGCACATATTTATTATCTCGAAGTTTCCGTGGGTCAGGAGTCCAAGCATGGCTCAGCTGGGCCCTCTGCTCAGGGTTTGCAAAGCTGCGGTCAAGGTGCAGTCAAGGTGGCTGGGCTCTTACACGAGGCTGGGGATCCTCTTCCAGGCTCACTGGTTGCTGGCAAAGTTCATTTCCTTGAAGCTGCAGGACTCATAGCAGCTCGCTTATTCCAGGCCAGTGAGAGAGAGTCTCTGACTTGCTTTTAAAGGGCTCATCTGATTAGGTCAGGCTCACCCAGGATCATATCCTTTGGATGACCTCAAGGTCAGCTGATTAAGGACCTTCATCATATCTGCAAAATCTCTTTACCCTTGCCATAGAATCTCACATAATCAGGAGAGAGACCAGTCTATCTCTTCTGCCATATTCCGTTAGTTAGAAGCAAGTTGCAGGTTCTACCACACTCAAGGGGAGAAGGTTATACTGGGTGTGGGCCTTCGGGAGTTATCCCAGAATTCTGCTTCCTACAGCTTAATTCTTTAAAAAAAGCATATGGCTAATGGCAAAACCCAAAATCTCAAGTGTAAATGGGAGTGGCACAGAATTTGGGGCTGGAGAAAATGGTTTCCTAGGCTTATCCTAGCTTACACCAATGTCCTGAAGTTAATGCAAATGCCATTAGGATGTAAGATGTGCTAGGAATCCTGCCGCTTTTGGGTACTGCTTCAGAGGAAAAACTGTTCCACTGGTATTTAGTAAAAAACACATGACTCGGCGAATTTATCTTTTTTTCTTGACATTGGCAGTGATAATGCAATGCCATTGTACACAGTCAGTGTGAGGTCGGCTTGCGAGTCCCTACAGATATGTGGTCACCTCTCGACTCTCTCTCTCTTTTGCTTGGGCAACTGCCACATTGATGCACTGGAGCCACTCTTCTGCGTTCTTCTCATCCTTGGCCTTGAAAACATAGGTTTTATTGTCTGTGAAGATTTCAAAAGCCCGAGGGAGAGAGCGGTCCCTGCGTTTTCTGGCCACAACCTTCACGCTCTGTACTTTGCTGAGTTCTATTGGTGAGTCATCAGGATCGTCTTTCTGAAATGCACATGGGAAGTAAAACACATGAGCTGGCTCCCAGAACATGGAAAGATCTCTGGCTACTGGAGGATTTTCCAAGAGGATCAGAATCCTTTCACTTCCTATGGCTCAAGGCCTTTGTTATTTGGGGCACCATTGCCTCAAAGCAGGGGTCCTCAAACTACGGCCCGTGGGCCACATGCAAATACAAACATTGTATTTGTTCCCGTTGTGTTTTTTTACTTCAAAATAAGATATGTGCAGTGTGCAGAGGAATTTGTTCATAGTTTTTTTTTAAAACTATAGTCTGGCCCTCCAACGGTCTGAGGTACAGTGAACTGGCCCCCTGTTTAAAAAGTTTGAGGACCCCTGCCTCAAAGGGTCATTAGAACAAGGAAGGAGTGAACAATTGGCCCGTCGTTATCATATCATAAATTGGCACAAGATAGCTAATTTCTAGAAATTCTACCTTGGGATTGGGGAAAATGCTTAATTCATATTTCTTTGATTTTATGTCATTTTCTATTAATATTAAAACTTCATTAATAGAGCAAAACATAACAGTACAATTTGGAGTACCATTAACTCAGAATTTAAGATAATTTGGGAAGCATGGAATTTAATTTTACTTTGTGCTATATCTGAGGAAGAGGTATTCATAGAATAAAAAGGGTTTCAGTGTTTAAGTAGATCAAACTGTTTTTGAACTCTGTGGAACGTTGGAAGCGTCATTTGTCTGCTAGCATGAATAGTTTTAAGGGGTCAGATACTTGTTTAAAGCAATTTCAGGTCTTTAACTCCATTTTGTCTCCTGGAGAATGTACCTGTGGTTGAGGATCTTGTCAATTCCCCTTTCCCACCTCTCCTGTACAGTCACCCTTCTTCCACTTTGCAATGAAAAGATACCCTTCTCACTCATCCTAAACTTTCCATGGTGTATTATGCAACTTGGAAAAATCTCAAGAGCATCAAACAAATTTTAAAAAGCAATACAGAATATTAATGTCAGGGAAGCATCCTTCAAACAAATCAACAATAATCCCCATTGTTGATTAAGTGATGTATTTCCAATAGCATTTCACTTTTTTATGTTTAATAACTAGTAATATAATAATACATTTGGTATTATACTTACGGCTTTTCAAAAATGATATAATTTTTTAAAAGAGAAAAATATAAAACCTTAGTATTTAGAGACTGATGGTCACAAGAAATTAAAATTAAATTTCAATTTATATACATAGTTTTATTGCAATGAAAAATGATAGGGTCATTACAGTGAAATGCCTTGGGAGAGGTAGAACAAAAATATGATTTCAAGGAAAAGTGACACAATGTAAACATTTTTATTAAAGAAGAACTAATTTATGTAATTTTTAAATGGATAGTGTTAGGTGTCAAATTGCTATGGTATTTTATTTCAGTGGTTACATTTAAAGAAAATATGTGATATTTTTATTTTAAAATGAAAATGCTTATAATTCAACAGAAATTACAGTTTGTGCAACTGCTTAAACTTATGATTAAAGTGTTGATGCACCTTAAAATACTATAGGTAATATAGATCTTTCCAAATTCTTTTAGGGGCTATATAGGATAAACTTGGAAAATAACTGCACTAGACAATATTTGTCAGCTTACTGTGGTTTACAGTATCTGAGCATAATAAAATTGTATTTCTTTGGGTTAGCCTACAGTACAGAGACTGATAAATGAAAGAACTGATAAAAAAAGATGTTATCATAGTTATTTCAAGAAGGACAGTGAATTAACCAAGACAGAAATGGCCAGGAAGTTAAAGGACACCATTGCCTAGCTGGTTGGCAGAGATCTTAACAATAGAGAGTAACACTATAATCTTTTAGTTTAAAATGCACATTTTTTCTCATTTACAAGAAAGGGCTTTTACGATGTAGCTAGACTGCTGACCACTGCTAGGTTACTGTGTCCCTGGGGATGAAGGAGATTTTGCTGTGGTCCTTATACTATTTCCCAATATTTGAGCCATATGTTTTGTCAGGTTTCTGGAATGTTAAACCATTATTTTCCGATAAAGATGTCAAACAAGTTAGCCAACTATAAAATAGCTCTTTCTCTAAACTTTATTAAAAAGCTCTGAATCAAGAAGGATAAAGGTCATTATTTGAGTTCAGGAAAAACACTCTTATGCACTGACTCTGCTTTGACTCAAGGGATCTGATAAATCACTACATTTTTTTTAACTTCTATTCCTGCCTTTTTATATGAAAACAGGAAATTCAGATGGCCATTTTTAACACTTTAAATGTGAACCTGTACTAAAAAAAATATAATGTTTCTTTAAACCTCCAATAACTGTCTAAATCAGCGATTCTCAACCTGTGGGTCGCGAGCCCTTTGAGGGTCGAACGACCCTTTCACAGGGGTTGCCTAAGACCATCGGAAAACACATATGTAATTACATATTGTTTTTGTGATTAATCTCTACGCTTTAATTATGTTCAATTTGTAACAATGAAATTGGGGGTCACCACAACATGAGGAACTGTATTAAAGGGTTACGGCATTAGGAAGGTTGAGAACCACTGGATTGAGCACACACTATACTTCCCTTTTAAAAAGATCTTCAGCCACAAGAAAATCCATCTGTATATTTCGTAATACATACAAATGAAGAAAGTAACATGAGTTCAGAATAGGTGTCATCAAAGTCTTTTTTTTTTTTACTCAAAAAGTTAACATGAGGTTTTATAGATTGAAAAAGCACTGGCCAGAATCTGTGAAATTCAGATACACCATATTTGATTCTCTTGGGTAATAAATAAATTTTATAATGAGCACTCTAAAAAATATAGTGCATATGTACTCAGTGCATTGTATTTTTAAGTAATTTAAGACCTTTTATTAATTAATTCAGGTGCAGTTTGCTTTGCCACTGGATCTCTGTTTAAGTGTACAGGGAAGCAGGACTAAGTACTCACTTAAGAACATGTTTGGTGTCATGCTGCCCAAGCCTGACTCCAGTTTCACCCTCTTTACCTTACTGGCTCTGTCTTTGGTCAAGCCAACCATCTCTTTGAGCCTTGTTTCCCCTTCTGTAAAATGGCAATAATAAGAGTGCTGACCTCAAAGGATTGTTTGAGGCAATCTAGTGTTGCATATGAGCTCTGATGAGCTGCTATTATTTATTATATTATTATTATTATTATTATTATTATTATTATTTTTCAGTGTAGCCAAGAAGTAGGCCACGATTTTACTTCCCTGATCCTGGTTGAGTAGAGCTGAAGGGTAATAAATCTGATTTGAAAAGAAGGGGAAAACTTTACATTGTTAATAGGTTTCCCCCTGAAAATTCAGAATACAGGTATTTACTCAGCATCCTTGTTCAGATGGAAAATTCTATTAAATGAATATTTATTAATTCTCTTAGAATCCCATTTTATTCATTCACTGAATGAAAGATAGCATTTTTTTTTCTAATCAAATTAAACTTTGGTGATTTCAAAAGTAATTTAAAATAGACCAGCCTTTTTTTCTTCCTCCCTGTCTATGGTTCCCCTTCCTTCAGTCCCCACCTCTAAATAAAACCTGTAACTATAAAAGAAATCAGTCAATATGATGAGCCATAAATGTACGTAGGTGATCTGCAGGGAAACAAAAGGCATGGTGTTCCAGTCAAGAGCAGTTTATCTTCTAAAAACTTAAGTCAACAAAAAACAGCTCCCCACCGAAACTGGTTTGGCTCAGTGGATAGAGTGTCGGCCTGCGGACTGAAAGTTCCCAGGTTCGATTCCGGTCAAGGGCATGTACCTGGGTTGCGGGCACATCCCCAGTAGGAGATGTGCAGGAGGCAGCTGATCAATGTTTCTCTTTCATCGATGTTTTTAACTCTCTATCTCTCTCCCTTCCTCTCTGTAAAAAATCAATAAAATATATTTTAAAAAACAAACAAACAGCTCCCATAATAAAATGAAGAGGGACAGTGAACCAACTAACATAGAAATGAACAGAATGGGCAGTGAAAGGAACACGGTAATAAAATAATACTGTAAAATTGTAAAACAGAGAAGGAAAAAAAAATACTGATATTTAACCCAAGACAAAATGCCTACCTAGCTGTTTGGTGGAAATCAAGACTTTAAAAATGCAGGTGGAATAAACAGCAGAGGAACTTACAGACTTTCCTTTTTGAAACAGAAGTTGGTTTCCAGCCAGTGTGAAGTAACGGGTTTTCCACCTTTTGATGAACTTCCATCTGACTTGCTTCTCTTTAAGTTTCCCTTCTATGAGAGGCTGGCCGTCTTGATTTACAACTGTTGAAGGTAACAGACTGATCAAGCCATTTATTTTCCATTAGTTATTTGGCAAATGATCAAAAGTCAGAATTGTCCAGGGAATCAGAACCCAGTAAAGCATATTTGGAAAGTGGGCTGATAAATTATGAATTTGGTTAACCTTTCTCCCTTTGTCCCTGAGAGGATGCACAGTTTAGATGATGGGAAAGTGTTGAAAGACCTCATGGAGATTTTCAAAAGAAATATGGTTCACAAAAAGAGCATCTGGTTAGCAGTTTCTAAGGTTGATCCAGATAGCCAGCTTTCTGTGCTTCGTTTCATGATATTCTGTTCACATGAACCGCTGAGAAATATAACTTCATAAATAATCACAAAACACATATATTTAGCTATTTGGCAGCAAAAGTCAACACACTACTCCAAAAAGACATGTTTTCCTAAAAGCCATAACAGATGCAAAGGCAAATTTAACCAGTTCTTTTGAACAGGATATTTCCATTCTCTGGAACCCACATACTCTCTCTTCACCCGCCACACTCCCATCTTTGCCTAGTTAACAACCAATAATGCATTTTTCAACTCCAATGTTGCTTCCTTTGGTAGACCTTCCTAAAACCCAGACCAAAGTGGCTTTGCCTGTTGTATGTTCCCATAGCATCTGGCATGATTCTTTTATAGCAGGCATCATCATCTGTAGATGGTTAGTGGTGTTTATCTAATGCAGTGGTTCTCAACCTTCCTAATACTGCGACCCTTTAATACAGTTCCTCATGTTGTGGTGACCCCAACCATAAAATTATTTTTGTTGCTACTTCATAACTGTAATTTTGCTACTGTTATGAATCGTAATGTAAATATCTGATATGCAGGATGTATTTTCATTGTTACAAATTGAACATAATTAAAGCATAGTGATGAATCACAAAAACAATATGTAATTATATATGTGTTTTCCAATGGTCTTAGGCGACCCCTGTGAAAGGGTCATTCGACCCCCAAAGGGGTAGCGACCCACAGGTTGAGAACCACTGATCTAATGAATGTCTTTTTCCCCCATCCAACTGAAAGCTCCCTGAGGGCAGTGTCCCTGCTTTGTTCACTGTTGCATCACCAGGCTTTTAACACAGTGCCTGGCAAATAACAGGAAGTCTATAAATATGTGTTGACTGAACAGATTAATTAGAGTCGAAGTACAGTGTTTATCATTACATTATTATTACACATAATCATAGAATTAGAAGATGTGTTACCATGTCAGAAGGTTAGATGTTGAATGGAGGAATTTAATTTCTTTTAATAATTACATTAAATTCACTTCTTAAATTTATATAAAAGCATATAATTTCTGGGGTGTATGACAAAATTTACTTCTGTCGATTTATGTTCAATTTTCACAGCAATTTGAAAGGAATGACATATTTTCTATCACTTGGAAATTTGGACAATGCCTGTCTGACTGTATCTTTCCTACCCTACCATTTCCCTTTCCTAATTTAGATCAAATAAGTATCTCAGAGGAAGATTTGTTCATCTTGACTGCATTTTCAAAGTAAGAATAATGAAGTATGTAGCTTTCACAAACAAAGTTCTAATGAGGCTAGTTTGGCATTGTTCCTTGTCTGAAAAGTATTCAATTAGATGTCTCATTGTCAATCCCAAATTAAGGCTATACATGGAAAATACATATCAAATATATATATATGATAAAAATAGAATAGAGAGTGATTGACTTGGGGTTGGTGCACATGCGTTTAAGTCATCAGAAAAGAGCTTGGACATTCCAGGTGACACTGATCTGAGACATCAGTGTTGAGAAGCGTCTCCCATCCTCTGAGAAACTTCACGGTGGTTAGTATCGTGCATAACAGAGCCCAGGAAAGCAGGAACCCAGGAAGTATTGACAATCACATCAAGAAAATGATTTATGGATGCAAGGATAGTACAATATCCACAAATCAATAAACATGATATATCACATAAACAAATTGAGAGATAAAAATCACATAATCATATCAATTGATGCAGAAAGAGCATTTGACAAAATCCAACACCCTTTCTTGATAAAAACTCTCAGCAAAGTGGGAATAGAAGGATCATACCTCAACATAATAAAAGCCTTATATAACAAACCTACAGCCAACATCATACTCAATGGGCAAAAACTAAAACCATTTTCCCCAAGAACAGGAACAAGACAGGGCTGCCCACTTTCACCACTCCTGTTTGACATAGCACTGGAAGTGCTAGCTATAGTGATCAGACAAGAAGAAGAAACAAAAGGCATCCAAATTGGAAAAGAAGTAAAACTGTCATTATTCGTAGATGACATTATATTGTACATAGAAAACCCTATGTTTTTTGATTCTATCAAAAAACAACTAGACTTAATAAATGAATTTGCCAATGTAGCAGGATACAAAATTAACACCCAGAAATTTATGGCTTTCTTATACACCAATAATGAGCTCACAGAAAGAGAAACTAAAAAAACAATCTCATTTATCACTGCAACAAAAAAAATTAAGATACCTAGGAATAAACTTAACTAAGGAGGTAAAAGACCTGCACTCAGAAAACTACAAGACACTGAAAAAAGAGATAGAGGAAGACATAAACAAATGGAAGAATATACCATGTTCATGGATTGGTAGAAGCAACATCACTAAAATGTCTATACTACCCAAAGTAATCTATAGATTCAATGCAATCCCCATTAAAATACCAATGGCATATTTCACAGACGTAGAACACACTCTCCAAAAATTCATCTGGAATAAAAAAGACCCTGAATAGCTGCAGCAACCCCGAGAAAGAAGAAAAAAGTTGGGGGGGATCATAATACCAGATATCAAGCTATATTACAAAGCCACTGTTCTCAAAACTGGCTGGTACTGGCACAAGAACAGACATATAGACCAATGGAATAGAATAGAGAACCCAGAAATTGTTCCAAACCACTATGCTCAGTTAATATTTGACAAAGGAGGCAAGAGCATACAATGGAGTCAAGACAGTCTCTTCAATAAATGGTTTTGGGAAAATTGGACAGATACATGAAAAAAAGAAAAAGAAAAATGAAACTAGACCACCAACTTACACCATGCACAAAAATAAACTCAAAATGGATAAAGGACTTAAACGTAAGATGGGAAACCATAAAAATCTTAGAAGAATCACAGGCAGCAAAATATCAGACATATGTCGTAGCAATATTTTTACTGGTACAGCTCCTAGGACAATGGAAACTAAGGAGAAAATAAACAAATGGGACTACATCAAAATAAAAAGTTTCTGGGATGGGGGTAACATGGGGATAAAGACACATATTTAATAACTTAATCAATAAATAAAAATAAAAATAAAAAATAAATAAAAAGTTAAAAAAGAACCTAGCTAGTGTTAAAGTACTCAAAGAAAAGCTTCTGCACAGCAAAATAACCATCAACAAAACAAAAAGAAAGCCCACTGCATGGGAGAACATATTTGCCAATGTTATCTCCAATAAGGGTTTAATTTCCAAAATTTATACAGAACTGATAAATCTTAACAAAAGGAAGATAAACAATCAATCAAACAATGGGCAAAGGACCTAAATAAACACTTTTTGAAAGTGGACATACAGCAGGCTGAGAGACATATGAAAACATGCTCAAAATAACTAATCATCTGAGAGATGCAAATACTAGTAAAAATGACAATGAGGTACCATCTCACACCTATCAGAATGGCTATCACTAACAAATCAACAAACAACAAGTGCTGGAGAGGATGTGGAGAAACCCTCCTTCACTGCTGGTGGGAATGCAGACTGGTGCAGCCACTTTGGAAAACAGTAGGGAGTTTCCTCAAAAAATTATAAATGGAACTTTCATTTGACCCAGTAATCCCACTTCTACGAATATATCCTGAGAAATCAGATATATTTTATCCAATCAGAAAGGATATATGCACTCCTATGTTCATAGCAGCACACTTTACAATATCTAAGATTTGGAAACAGCCTAAGTGCCCATCAGCAGGTGAGTGGGTTAAAAAACAGTGGTACATCTACACAATGGAATACTATGCTGCTGTAAAAAAGAACTCTTATCATTTGCAACAGCATGGATGGACCTGTAGAGCAATATGCTAAGTGAAATAAGCCAGTCAGAGAAAGATAAATAACACATGATCTCACTTATTTGTGGGATATAATGAACAACATAAACTGATGAACAAAATAGAGCCCGAGTCATACAAGTATCAAATAGACCATCCAACCTAAGAGGGAAGACATGGGGAGGATGGGTAAGAGATCAACCAAAGGACTTGTATGCCTGCATATGAACATAACCAATGGACACAGACACTAGCGGGGTGAAGGCATGTGCTGGGGGCGGGGGGGGGGGCAGGTGGGAGTGGGGGGGGAGAAGTCAATGGGAGAAAAAGCAGACTTATATAATACTTTAAACAATTAGAATTAAAGAAAAAATGATTTATGTTCTGCTTTGTTTTACTAGTATTTGCATCATCTGCTTAGACCATTCTTGAAGCTAGTAATATTCTTTGCAAATTTACATTTTCCACAAACAAGGAGCTTCCTTTGTGCAGCCTCTCTGCAGTTACTTCTGGTCCTACTTCAGGTAAAGTCACCTCAGGTGGAGCACTTAGGACACAGGCCTTCTCCAGGTGCTATGCTTTCCCAAGAGCAGGAGCTGGCCTTCTCCAGGTGCTATGCTTTCCCAAGAGCAGGAGCTAGCCTTCTCCAGGTGCTATGCTTTCCCAAGAGCAGGAGCTGCCTCACACAGTGTCCGCCTGGGCTGTGTGTTCAATGAGTGTTTACTCACAGGGTGCTGTTGAGGCAGAATGAAGGGCACAGTGGCCTTTCTGGGAAGAGGAAGGAAAGGTCCAAGAGCAGATCCAAGAGGAGAAAAACAGGAAACAACAAACCAGCAACAACAAAACTCAAACCAAAATAGCTTAAATTAAAAATCTATCTATCTATCTATCTATCTATCTATCTATCTATCTATCTATCT